ATTTAGTACTTCTAAGTTGTGTTGCTCTGTTTTGCTTTCCCCTTTGTATATCCTAAGAACCATGATAGTTCTGTTTTTTGAATCTGTAAATTCTTCAGGCAAGGCAGTGAGATGTACCATCTGCTGCTCCATCCCAAATACTTGCACCTGTTGAATCCAAATTTCAGTCACATTTGTCTATAAAGCACAGGTCTCAAACCTGATGTTTCTAATGCTCTGTGAAAATGACTTCTGAGGTGGAGAAATGGGTTTCAAATTATTACCTGTCTGAGGATAAAGGTACACTGTGAGTACAGCCATGTTACGAGACATAAGAGAATCCATATGGGAAAAGATTACAGAAAGTCAGGTTTTATAATCCTGCTATTCAAGGAACTACTTGTCTTTTTTTGTACTCTCAGCTTGTGATCAGGGTGGGTTGTGAAGGCAGCAAATACCATGGTTCTTTTTAGAATTGATAAGACACAGATGCAGCATAACTTTAGTTGCAAGAAACCCTCTCTCTATTTAACAGGAAAAGGTATAGAACTAGAAAGTAAATGAAAATGCAGCTGTTGGTTTAGTAAAAGATACTGCCTTTCTGTATGAGTTGTGCAACTAAATTGGTTTTCCTGTCAGCGTGTAAGCGTTTGTTAAATATTTTGTGAGCAGAGCTCTACATTCTTACATGCTTAGGTGGGAAGTGAACAAAAAATGATACTTGATTTTCACTGAAGAAGTGCCTATTATTCCCATTAAGAGTTTCAATACAAATAAATGCTGAACACAAGCTGTGTGAACTGTTTTGGAGTAGGTGAAAGCAGTTACACTGTTTCCTGCAACAATACTTTTATGGCCTATTCTGGTAAGGGTTAGAGAGGAAATGGATCAACCTTTGGTGAACTACATTAAAATTGCTTCAGATAAATGTAAAGGTCAGTGTAGGCAAACTAGATTTTCTTATAGTAAAGTAGAATCTTCTCCTAGTGAAGACATTACAGTTTATTGCTAGCTGTGGGCTGTTGCTGTAACAGCATTTTTTATAGCCTGATGTGAGTCATGCTAAACTATGGCTCAACTTAATATTTTATGTACCTCAATATGTTGTTCTACATTCCTTATTACAACCTTTGAAATTTCTCATCTTACTGAATGCAGTTGATACTCACTGGTAATATCTTTAATACTTCTTGTAGTTATTTTTCAATGTATTTCAAATGCAAATATTTTTGTTACAGTAACATCTGCAGCGATGATTAAAGTTACTTCATAGGTTTGGAATACAAGTTTGACAGCTGGTTGTGAGCAATGGAGAAAGTTGCAAAACTGAGTTTGATAAATAATGCTGTAATAGAAACATACTCCTGAATTTTGGAGATAGAACAGTTATCTGAAACCTATCTGGTTGCTGTAGCCATTTTTTTTCTTCAATTATAGCAAGAGAAATGAGACCTCCAATGAAATTAATCAAAAGAGTTCTTGGGTTTTAAGGAGAAGGAGTTTTAATGTGGACCACTGGCATGTTGAAAGTGCAATGTGAATAAAAAGTTGAAGTATGTGCATCATGATCTCAATCTATTACAAAGGAGCTTCCACTGTCCCAAATTGATCAAGTAATTCTCATAATCATCCTAAGGAGACATGTTGAAGTAATTATAATACTAATTTGTCTGATCTAAGAGGTAATGCAGTTAGAGCAGATACACCAATGGAGCGACTGCAGCCATGGGGTCAGCTGTCCCGGCTGTGTCCCCTCCTGACTTCTTGTGCACTCCCAGCCTACTCGCGGGTGGGGTGGTGTGAGGAGCAGAAAAGCCTTGGCTCTGTGTAAGCACTGCTCAGCAGTAACTAAAGCATCCTGAGTTATCAAAACTGCTTTCAGCACAAATCCAAAACATAGCCTCATACTAGCTACTGTGAAAAAACCCAACAAACCACCACCCCTCTATCCCAGACAAAACCAGCACATGTGCAGTTATATTATACATAAGACCATGGCTGTAATTTTTAGGGTAAATGAGATCATCACTGCCCCGTACAGATCTTAGTTCAGGAGTTGCAATGAAGAGATCTGATACTCAATAGAAAAGATTAATTGCAGGAGTGCGTGAGATTCAAAGTCGTAGTCTGATGGAAATTAAGTGCCTTTACTGCTCCCAGGACCTTTTGAGAATCATTTTATCCCTTGACTGCAAAAACACTTAAGGGTGTTCACTCTTCTTGAGTCTTATCTTTTGATCTGGCACCATCTGTATTGACAGTATTTTGAGGGGAATTCAAGGCAAGTTTAGATCGGATATATAAATTCAAGCTGGATATATTGTGTTTGATCTTGAAGTATTTCATAGAACTAAGGCAACTTTACCACCATGCTTATGCCATTATCTGAAGTAAATTGGTATGTCCACTCTAGGAGCTACATTGATTTTAGTGATATAGTTATCCATATGGATTAGGTATCCTGAATTGAACAAATTAATCATAAACTGTGGTATAAGACATTAGCGTCCCTGTCTTCCCTTTCACTTTGTGCTGCAGGGGCACTAGTGGAGTGGGCTGCAAGGGATTATATATGCTAGTTCATATTCTGGCAAGTTAGCAGAAACCTCTTCATTTTGAGACCTAAATGTAGGTTTAAGCCTACTAGTTCAGTTCTTGGTGCAGTTCCACTTCTATCAGTTCACTATAAATGCAAAACCCTGTGGCAGGAGGGCTGGGCAGGCAGCTGGGGGAATTGATGTCTCAAATTAACCCAAATAAATGTACTGGAGTTTGTCTGAGTCTTATGGCTCCTGTTATATTAGTGCAGAAGTATTAGAAAGCCCCTTAAATCTCAAGGGCATCTCATTTCTGACATATATTCCTCTGAGGATAGCTGTCTTTATGGGTGTTTAACAATAAGGCTAAAGGGGCTAGTGCAGTTATAGCTACTGAGAAATATGGGTTAATATGTCCATTTAAGCATCATGTGTGGAAACCCTGCAGAAATATACCTAGACTTACCTCTACTGGTGGTTGAAATTCCTACTACACAAGCAAAAAACCAGAAACCCCATGCACCCCTAAAAGCCTTTGCAGTGATTGAAACTTTGAAAACTCGAAGTAAGAATTAGTTTTAAATCATTCTGATGCCACATGTCTCAAAGTCATTTCTAGGTTAATTGGCTTCCACTTTTCTCTTTCTCTCTGAATTTTCAGAAAATCGTTGCATCATTTGGAATGCTTTTCCTACAATGTTGCTTCTCTTGCTTCTGAGAAGTATTTTTGTGTGATTATGGAGGTTTTGATTCTCGTGGACCAAATGGATTAAAGAGAAAGCGTAGCATTCTTCCAGAGCTGTCTCACCTCTTACAAGATAATATGATGATTCTGCTGTATTGAGAGCCAAAGAAAATGTTAGGTTAAGAGGGAGTAATAGGACTAGAGATTACAGCAGGACAGAAAAAGAGGTATGAGAAATAAATCCAGGTGGCACAGTATTTTAAGGAATCCAAAATGAGCTCATGTTTCTACCACTCTGTGCTTTTGGTGATCTTGCAACTGAAATGTTTAAAATAAGTATTTCTGAAAATGATTTAAAAGGAAAATATATAATTTCTTTAGGTAAGATATTTCATGACCAGCTTGTGTTTCTTCTCAAACATGCTCTTCGGTTCCCCCATTAATATTTAAAATTTGTGTACTTTACGGTCATGACTGTCCATTCAGCCATCACCACTACTAAGTACCTTTAACAATGGAGTTTGTGGTAAGTGAGAGAAGGAATCTGTGCTGTGTGTCCAGATTTTCTCCACATCTACGACTCTGCTGGTATGAGTAGAAAACTATTTGTTAATTCCTCCATCAATTTATATTGTAAAACGTAGTGAAGAATCTTGCTTTTAAACATCTTTTACATAATTTACTGACTGTCTTCCGTATTTATCAGTTGGTGTAGTGTAGTAAAGAGCATGAACATTATTCTCTGCTTTACCTCCAATGAAAGGGGTCTTCTGATGCTTTGATGTGAGAATCTGATTGCTGTGTTTACAGAGAAGGTTCACAGCCTTCAGAGAAGGATTAGAGTTCAGCAGCAATCATTTAATGTTTTCTCTTTTTGTAATTGTGTTCATGTAATGCATGGGTGAACTTGCTGAAGTATACTGAGTTAAAGACATGCTAAATGCTAGTAAAATTTGAGGACGAAGGAGCAAAACATTTAAAAGGGTAAGGCATTAATCAGACACTATGTGTGTGCTTAGGGATACTTTTTATTACACAGGCATGTGGCTGTATGGATGCAAGTGCCTACACATGGTGGGAAACTTTGCATGTAGTACTCTTGATTTACCTGTAGTAGGGTATTCTCTCAACATCATTCCACTGAATCAGTATTTTTTTAAAAATCAAACAGATATCAGCCATTTGGAAAGAGAGAATTAGTCACTATTAAAAAAAGTCATATGTTATCAAAGAATTACTGTCTTAACTTCATTTTGGCATTCAGGCAGCATCAAGAGAGAATTGTCCTTAAAAATATTTTATCATAATGACAGGTCTTAAGCAGAGCTCCCTAATAGACTATCAATGAGGAATAATATGTATTCCATTTCCCATTCATAAATTTAAAATGTGCTCCTACCTGCAGTTAGAGTGAACGGTCTTTGTTGATGCTCTTGCTCTGCAGAACCCCTGCAAATCATAGAAATGTGCTGAGGTGAATTAAAACCAAACAATGATAGTGAGGTCAAAAACAAATAGGGAAGCCCCCTGCTGCACACTTCTTTCCCAGACGGAAACTTGGGAAGATAAGTTTTAGAAGCAATGTATGCTGATGTGTTGCAAGTTGCATAGGACTGGTTGGCAAGGTTTTGTCTCAGCAGAAATACAATAATCTCTATAGAATGAACATTAAGACCACCTTGCCTAAAGTGACTAAGATGATTTTGGCAGGTAAAATTGTTATAGAGTTTATACGTAACACTGCAGATTCATTTGTTGTTTTCTTGTGTGTTTTTGTCCTTGAAATATATAGGCATTTCAGTAGGACTATGGAGGAACTGGTTCACGATCTAGTCTCAGCACTGGAAGAAAGCTCAGAGCAAGCCAGAGGAGGTTTTGCTGATACTGGAGATCATTCTCGAAGTGTGTCCTGTCTTCTAAAGCGACAGGCAAGGAAAAGGAGGGGACGAAAAAGACGTTCATTTACCACCCATCATCCTTGGGAGACTGGTCACTGCTTAAGTGAAGGTTCTGATTCCAGTTTAGAAGAATCAAATAAAGACTACAGGGAGAATCATGCTAATAAGAAAGACCACAGTGACTCTGATGATCAGTTGTTGGTTGCTAAACGTAGGCCTTCCTCAAACTTAAATAACATTAGAGGCAAAAGACCTCTGTGGCATGAACCAGATTTGGCTGTTGACAGTTTGGGAAACAGAACTTTGCGCAGGAGAAGAAAGGTAAAACGGATGGCAATAGATCTGCCATCAGAAGTCTCTAATGCACTGACAATAACTCAACAACAGGATAACAGCAGAGATCAAGAAATGGACAATAACAATAAATCATACCAACACCAAGAGTTTTCCAAGAGCAAAGTGAAAAAAAGGAGAGTAGCGGCAGCTCGTCAAGGACCAGAAATCTTGGATGAAGGAGTAGTTATAGAAAATGAAGAAGTGAACCAAGCAAATAAGGACAAAATGGAATATGAGGAGCAAAAAGGTTCAGATGAGAACATGAGCGACAGGTTATTCTTTCTCTTCCTTTTTACAGAAACTTTGGATAAAATTTGTTTGCTTTTATTACTGTTGCTCTTATCAGGAATCTTCAGATTTTTCTTTAATTCTAGAGTGAAAATGTTAGCATCAATAGTATCTGTTTTAACAAGTTACTCTTAATTTCTTTAAGTCTACTATTTTTAATATATATTGAGTTGCTCAGGTTAAGAAATTCAGCATAAAATAGGAAGTAATGCAAAAGAACAATAACCAAGAAAACTGTTTCTTGAAATAAAACATTCTAATTGTTTCAAGATTAAAAATGACAGAATATACAAATGATTAATATGTGTTTTTTTCTGGGTATTTCAACTGGTGACAGTTCTCAGACAAAAATTAAGTGTTTTTCCAATTTCTAGACATTGGTGCTTTGATTGTTATCTCTATTCATCAGAAAGGTTGTCAGTGTTTAGAGTCACCATTTAGACAGTATGTTCTTATGTGTCATGGGCATAAAAAGTCTGCAGGTTGCCGAGGATATACATCATTTATGAAATGCAAAAACCAATTTACAGTTCAGAAACACCTGAGCTTACCATTAGAAAAATGGGGGAATGATGACCCTTTGGCAGTACACCTCATCCATCCATTCCAGACAGCAGTCATACTACAATGGTAATTGTTTCCAAAGTACTATTTTGACAACACAGTAAGGTGTAAGTCATTTTTCCACCATACACAAGGGATGTTACCTGCAGGGCTTGGTAAGCTTGATTATGTTTATTCTATGTGCTTGGTTCTGAGTGCAGAACTGTCAACAAGAAAGACTCACATTAAAACGTATAATTTTGGTCAGTTGCTTGACAGCACTAGTATCCCTGTTGTTTTGGGGTTTTTTGTAGGCATTTTATCTATAAACTGTTCAGCCTTTTCCTTACTGGAGAGGTAGAATTGAGATGCAGAGAGCACCCAGGGATTTTGACCAGAGCAGACAGATTGGTTACTGTAACAGCAGCAGTGTTGGTTAGTGACTAACTCCAGTTATTGTTGGAAAAGTCCTTCTAAGTCTTTTTACTACATACTAGTTTTGTCCCTCACCTGTGAACAATAAGCAGCTGAAAGAGTGGAATGTATCCTGAGTCTTAAAGATTGTTCCTAATGTCTTAATTACTAGAGCAGGAGTAGTCCAGGGCAGCCACTGTATATGTCCATAGTCTTCTCACTTATTATAAAAGATTTTTTTGTTATGCTACAAGGGTAACAGTTCTCCCAGTTCAGAGATTCTGTAGCTAATTTTTGAGAAAAGTGATCAATGTGAAAATGTTCTTGTAGACTCCCAAAACTGTGCTACTTCCAGGTCAGTCTGAATAACTTTTTTTTTTTTAAAGAAACATTATTCCTCTTCAAAATGCTTAATGTTTTGTTACACCAAATGCTGTTGTTCTTCAAATCGTACTTCAAATGTTTGTCTCTGGCCCAAATAAATGGCCTTTAAAACCATTCTCATCTTCATAGTGTTTTCTGCTCATGCGCATGGTTGAGTGATGGTGTGTCATTCTGCTGAATTTCTTGCAATGGTCATCTGGACCAAAAGGTTTGGAAACCACTGAATTAGCAAATTTGCATTCCATAATGTGATTAGAAATCCACTATACCTAAGCCTCTTGGGTGCATATCTGAATATTTTGTATGTGAATAATTTTACCTCATTTTAAACTAACTTAAATGCAGTAGTGCCTCTATTGTTTGAGATCATTTATCCAAAAGAATAGAAAACAACTAGCAAATTCTGTTCCTAAGAGTATGTTCTAAGAGTAAAAGCTGAGATTTTCAAACAGAGCATGAGTTTCGTAAGATTGCACAAGTTAGAGAGCTAATTAAGTATCTTGGATAAGACTCATGCTTCAGCAACACTTGCTGGAAGAGGAAAAATAAAAAGTATATGAAGCTGCTCTAATTTTGTACATTTATGTGCATACAGTTTAACAATTATTTTCATAAAAAGATTAATTTTTTAGAAGTTCAGTTTTTGAAAACAAAACCAAGCTAATAATTTTTAATGGGAGTTAAATTGCTTGGGTCTAAAACTGGTGACAAGTTTTCAGTATATACATGAAATTACTTTAAAATAACATATATATGTGAAGTGCACATTAAAAATACAAAGTAATACTTCTTTTGCAGTCTTTTATCTGTGTGTGTTCAAGTACCAAACACAACAACAGCGAGTTCTGAAGTGCAGGGTTCAGGAGTAATAGGAGGAGTCTTCAAGCTCTTAAAATGTCGGCATCTAACTGATCCCAAAGATGAATTCCTGTGAGCTTGATTTCAAGCACTGGAAATGAGATTTTCATGATCAGAGCCTGTCCTTTGCTCATTCTCCCTTACCCTCAATGCTTAGCTCCTTGGCCACTTTCAGCCAAATACGGCAATGCGTGGAGTTCTGGATGATACAAAACCATGGTATGCGACGGTTTGCTAATAATGACTACTAATAAAAATTATTTCTTCTTTGTTTCCACAAATATATAAATAAAGCTGTGAAACCTTTTTGGATAGCAGAGCTGTTCCTTCCAAGTTCTTGCTTGCATGCACTATTTTATAGGACTAACAGGAATCTGTGGCTTTTTTTTTTCCTGGAAGTCTTGCTGGGAGCGGAATTCTCATTACAAAGGAAAGGAATTAGCAATATACAGTGCAAAATTATATTAAAACTGGAAATAAATTCCATCATAACAGCTTTCATGTACTTAGATATTAATGTATTAATGCCAGAGGTTTTGAATTTATTCAGTGAAATGACTGCCATGTAGCAATTATCTCGGCTGTAATCCCTACCCTATTTGACTGTGGCCTGGGGAGAATGAACACTGTGGCTGCCATGGATATGCCAGTGTTATGGTTTGATTTTTTTTAAACCCAAAACATTATTATGTGTAATTTTTAAAATTTCAAGTGGTTATGTTTTCATGAACAGGCTAGTTCTTTAGTAAGAATTGTAGCACAATTAAAACATCTTATTTAAAAAAAAAAAAAAAAGACTGTTCTCAAAATTGGAAATTTTGGTGAAGGAAGTGGCTGAAATACCAGGGCTGAAGGGATTTCCTAACTTTCTTTTTAAAAAGTACAATTAAATAATGAATGGACAGAAAGAATCTATGAAAGGGGGATGTTTTTTCTTTGAGATGGGTGACGTAAAAATGTGCACAATGAAATGAAAGGACAGTAAATCCATCTATGTTGTAATTAAAGTGAGGATGGGATGCTTGCTAGAAGGAAATTACTAGGATTTGCAATGTTAGGAAGTTCAAGTTTTGGCCTCCCTCATGAAAGATGGTTCCATTCTCATTGCATGCCTGTCATCTTTCTTCTGCTTAGGGCAATCGTGCAAGTGCTCAAGTCTGTTTGGATTATATTATGTATAAAAGATGGTATAAGTATTGCTTATACGGTAAGACTATGGATAAGTAGAAGAAACAGCAAAGATTAAGAAAACTTAATCTTCAGAGAGCTGTGAATGTATATTTAAAAAAAAATAAAAATCATTGCTTTGTGTCTCCTGATACCATATTGTGTTTCATTATAAGTATATATTTGAGTTTTGTATCTTTCTTTGGGAGGCATCCCAACAGGATGTGAGACGCAAGTTTAATTTTGATTAATATAATTCATTTAATAAGTTTTTTAAAAATTGAGGCTTATTTTTGTGAGAGATTAACACTTAAAAGGAAATAATTTTCCTAAGTGTATTAGTTATTCAGAAACAAAAATAAAACTAACTTATTAGAAAGTAACTAAAATGAATTGAGACCAGTTGAATTCAAGTATAGGACTGCATAGATGTTTTAATATGAGTAAGTATAGAAAGGTAAACAGACCTCAAGTTCTTGTAAGTAGCTTGTATGGAATATTGCCAGTAGCCATAGTATTTATAACTTGTACTTTAGTTTGTGTGGTGAAGTGATTTTTTTCCAAATTGTTATACATCTCGATGTAAGTAAAATGTGATTAAATTTTGGTGAGAATATTACTCCCTTAGCAGAGCTACTCTGTTGACAAAAAATGAAATAAATGGTTTACAAAAAATCCTTTTGTGTGAAACTCACCAGATTGTGATCTGTGTTATTAAGACAGGTCTGTTTTACTGTTTAGAGACAGGTGGAATGTTGTTTGTAACAATGTGTGTACAACAAAAACCAAAATACCTATTGATGTCTTTGAATTTAGAGAGAAGTGTATGCATGTTGTATACATGCATTCTGATTTTAAGGCCACAATGGAAGTCACAGAAAAGTAAACTGTACCTTGGGGTTTTTTGTTGATGTTATGATCATTGATCATACTTATTTTCTTCAGGATGACCTTTATTTTGATTTAATTGGCTACCTGTTACAAACTTTTTTCTTTCTCCCCAAGTAGTATGTCATGAAACCTTAAGCAGTGTCTTTTCCAGAATATTTGCAAATGATGTTGAGAAAGGTAATTTGATTTTCAGACTCTTATATTTCATGTGCTGAAGGAAGGCTTAGGCTGCTTTTGATTGAGACTTTTCCTATTTTATTGAGCAGTGGTGTTCCAGGATCAAGCTGAATTGCACAGCATAAGAAGGGAGCAGTGAGCATTTGATGGAAGCAGATAATAAAATGCATCAATTGTGTCAGCACCTCGTTGCAGTCACATCTGGCTTACTGTCAGGGTACCATTAGATTCCCATGGTTTTACGTGCCAAAAATAATATGCTTTGTAGTTAATGGAACTAGGATATTTGCAGTTCGATTAAAAAAAAAAAAAAAACATCCTATTTTCTTTCCGATCTCTGTTGGGCTTAAGTTCAATCTGAGCACAGCCTTGTCTCCTTAAAATTTTACAACTGAAAGATCAATTGTTCTTTTGATCTGTTTCTTTCTTTCTCTTATTACAGTGAATCCAGCAGTCTGAGCAGCAGTGATGCTGGTTTGTTTACCAATGATGAGGGAAGACAAGGTATTGAAACAATCTTTCCCTTCTCCACCCCTCAAACCACATCAGTTGAAATTCTGTAAGCGTTACAAGTTATTTCATAGGTTAATTACTGTATTTCAGTTGCTATTACTATTTTAATGAGTTGAAGTATAGCTTGCTTTCTGGCATTTTTGAAATGTTACCAGAGGGTGTCCTGAATCCATGACTTAGTCAAAAGCTATCTTGAGAAGCAGTCTCTGTAATGTAATAAGCTTACTTATAATTTGAGCATCTCTGAAAGATCATCTATAGTAAGTTTTAATTCTTCAGTTGCTCCCATTTTCAGACAGAACTCTGTCGTCATAGTACTGCTTCTCAGACTATTTTTGAGGTGTCTGTTTTCTTTCTTCCAAATATGGCAGGTTTTCATAGTTCTTTTTTATTCAGTAGCTTGTTTGAAAAGTAATTTCAAACAAACTACTTTTTCAGCAGTCTGAGATTAGAAGATGCATGCTCTTTAAAGTCTCTCCCTTCTGAAAGAACTTTCTTTAATTTAAAATGCAGTGGATATACAAAATTTTCCTTTAGTATGCATAGTGTTCTCACATGTTTTTATGTGATAAAACTATTGAGGATGTAAGTATAAGGTTTTTTTTCTTCAGCTTTAGTGTTTATTGCCATATTTAAGTGCAATGCATTTACCTGTATTATGCTAGCATCTTAGTGTCCAGCTCATGGACTGGGAACTTGCTGTCTTTGACGGTATACAAAAATGAGACAAAAAATATTCTCTCATATGATTAAGAACTGCTTTTCTGTCGGCGATTCCAAGTTGATGGTAATGGAGATTATTTTCTTATGCAGTTTGCCACAGACTACTCGAGTGTGTGCAAGAAAACAAATTGTGGCCCATTCTGCAAATCTAGGTTAAAGGAATGGGGGGTTTTTTGTTTGTTTCTCTAATGTGTAATTCAGTCTCTTCTGTTCTATCTTCGATTTTAATGTTACAGTAGGGAGATGATTTTTCAGACTTAGAACACAGGTGTTACCTTCCTTGCTCAACAGTAACTTATACTATGTAAACTGTACCTCCCAGTCTGAGTATCTCTTTTTAGTTGTGCTAACACATAGCTTTTTTGAAGAAATTAGTCTTACTTTAAAAGTTTAGATTGATCTTTTAACTTCATTATTTCAAAATAACATGTCAAAAAGATTTGTTTTTACTTCCCTATATGAATTTATCTTTTGACTTGCAATTTTTAAAACCTTTGTCCTCTATATTTGTATGTAACATGACCTACCACGTTTCATAATTACATACATTTTTGAAGTACCCCCCCCGGTATATTTGTGTCAATACTTTTGTCCTTAAATCCTGAACTCAATTATTTAATTCTTTGATTAATATGATTGAAAATGTCTCATTTACTTTTTGTTTTTCTTATATATTTTGTGGGAGGAGAAAAGGGGTGGGATTGGTGAACAATTGGTGAACACCAGTGTTCTTTCACTGGTGTGGTGTTACCTTTTTTAGTGTTAGTTCTTTACTATAGACCTGTAATTCTTATTTTTATCTGTTTGATTTTTGAACCATGATTCAGTTTGATTGTAATCTTCAAGCAGAAAGCATTAGGCCTGAAGTAGTATTCTGAAATATAAATGAAAAGACCAACAGTATTTAAACTTGAGAAGGATATTGTCAGGACAAAACATTTTTTTAAAATCTCGACTTGGAGCTAATTATTTTGTGAGTATGATCAGAGGGCAATTAGCTTCACGCTGGATCTCAGACATTCTTAGATCTGCATTATAACTTTGGTTTTGTGAAGAGTTTTCCATGAAAGTACCATCAGAGATCCTACTGCAAAACCAAAATTATTTATTTTCTAATAATACTTACTGCCCCCCCCCAAAGAAAATGCTTCTACTTTTTATCTTTATACTCCCCTTTTGATGTAAGATGAGGTTATTTTATCTCTGTAAATTATAGTTGAACTGAGGCACATAAAAAAATTGACAAGGAAGGAAGGAGAAAATAAATCTGATAAAATCAAAGGAAAAGCGTAGGTGAGAGAACCAAAGCTGGAAGAGGACAGGACGAAAATGTATTAAGGGGGAAGAGCTGGCTGATTTTGTCCGTTTTTAAAAGCTGGACTCTGATTCCTGTCTTCCCAGTGTACCTCCTCCAGGATATATGTTCAGAACTTCAGCATCTTGACCTCATCTGTAGTTCAAATTTTCTGCACTTCTGACTTCAGCTTTCTCTTAAGTGGAGAACCAGAGATTGATTAATGCCCCCTGGTGAAATACTTGGTTTAAATGATGTGCCTGCCATCATTCAGAAGTTTGGTTAGCAGAGGACAAGAGGATCCTGTTCTCGAGGGCAATATTGTTCATTTTGTGTGTCTGAGATTAAGAACCATATTTATTGCAGACAAATACTCTTTATAAAACCCTAATTATTCCCAAAGCATATTAATCCTATGGGACAGACTTTCTAGAAAGGAAAGTGGTCGAAAGCAGCAATTTCTTCAAGCAGTTGGCCAGTTGGTTAGAATATTTAGTTCTGAACTTTAGAGTGCCTGACCTTGCAACTTTTAATATTTTTCAAAATTGTTTCAGAAAGCAAATGGAAATAAATTCCACCACAGTAACTGTACTCCTCTGTGCACAGACTCTTGGAAGAGTTTCATCTTTTATAATTTGATTCAAGAAAACCAAGTGTAGCTGTAATTGGAGGTGGTAGTGGGTTAATTGCTAGATATATTTTAATTGCCATCAACTGCTATGGTAAAAGAAAATTGCTGAGACTTGAAAATCCTGTGTTCAGCTTCTAATATGTGGTGTGCCATCTAACATTTTTTCAAAAACTTTTATACCCTTTTCCTTTCCAGCCTGCCTCTGTTCTACTCTCGTAGCTTTTGTTTGTTTGATTTGCTTTGTTCCTATGAAGTCCTCATCTGACCCTAGGCATGCTTGTCCTCTTTTTTCCAAGTTATCCAGGTGCTTACGTTGGGCCCTGTGAGAGGGCAAAAGCAGCTCTCTTGCTGTGCTCTATTCCACTGTCATATTACCTTCTGGCAGAAGTAACTGGCACTCGATGTTTTGCAATCCCAATGTGACAAATGTTTTTCTTCTGTGAAACATTGCATACCCTGTACGGTTAGCCAGCAAAGTTAAAAATCATGGAAAATGCTCAGTGCAGGTAGAGTCAGTGAAGATGATAGCTGCTGAACTATTAACAAACCTCAAGTGAATTTTTATGGGTTGTATTTCTTCAGAGCTTTGTAAATTGGTCAACTTTGGGGTAAGTTTTAACATAGTTAGCAAAAAACCAAAATCCTGTGTCACTATCGAGTATGGAGGTGGGAGAGCCTGCCAACAAACTAACTGAAAGAACTGAACAGTGGCTGAAGCTTATGTATCAGAGATCCTTATGGCTCCTTTTTCTTCCTACTCTCTCCTTTGTTCCTAATAGCATTCTCAGAAAATGGCTGTTTGCAATTATTAAAAACTTCAGTGATAAGCAGTATTATGCCTGGTGTAGAAAACTTCTACAAGAAGAGTTTTGAGACAAAAGGTCTAATCTTACATTACAACATGTAATACAACTCTATTATTGGCCTAGCTAGTAGGATCACCTGCAGTTTCAAGGCACTTTATAAGTTAAGCTTTCAATGGAATGTTAACAAAACTGTAACATTATTCAAATGCTAGTTGATATTATTGCTGTTTTTGGGGGAAAAAATTCAAATTGCAAGTATAATCTTTAATGAATTTGATAGTGTGGGTATGGCAAATAAAACATTTTCTTCATTCCTAGTCCAGTTACACCTACTAGTAGACTTGGGGAAATTCAAAGTTGATGTAAGACCTCTTCAATCGTGACATGTAGCACTGGAAACGTCCTTTAAGATCTAAGCAAGTAGGAAGGAAAGCTATATTAATAAAGTGTTAAACAGTTAAAATTGGAGAAGGTCAAGGAATGCCAGAGTTCCACTGTGGATATAGCTAAGCTTTTAAAGATAGCTGTTCATTATTTTATGATTAAGCATATATTCATTACTGTGTCCTTTGTGAAGATGACCCACTACTGATTCAGTATATGAGAATTCCACTCTTTTGTCTTCTCTAGCAAGAAACTAATTTGGACCTTGTATAGTGCCTCAGTAGCTGCAGGTGTCAGTGTCATTCTCCATAGATAAAAGAAATGGAATGTACATTGCAAATACAAAGTTCAGAAAGTGTAATCACACCAGTTTTGAACTGTTGTGGCTAATTGTAATCACACCAGTTTTGAACTGTTGTGGCTAATTATAATCACACCAGTTTTGAACTGTTGTGGCTAATTAGTTTATAGTCTTTGCGGGTGAAAAAAATGACATGAAGTTGTATATGACCTGAATAGTTGAAATCCTCAATATTGCCTGTGTATCACAGTGGTAGAGGTGAACATAAAGCAAAGATCATGTGATATCCTTGGTCAAATTTATTAACACACATGTACAGTCCTCCTAATCTAGAGCAGGGTATGATATTACATTGGGTGGGAGGAGTGGGAGGAGGTCTGCATGGGAAGTTTCCAAGCTTGAATCAGAACAACTAGCTGCTTCAATTGCATGGTGTCTGAATGATGTGCTGCTGTCCCTTTTGCCAAGGTAGCTCTGTAGAGCACAAAGAGCAAGATGCAGTGTGCCTCTGTGGATGACTAACTTCAGCTTCTGCTTTCCTGAAATTCCCTGTATGTGTTATAGTGAGTCTTGTGATGTCTCCAAATTATTATTACAGCTGTTAGCAGTGGGGTTTTTTTACTTAGAAAGAGGTACACTGATCATGGAAATGAGACTAACATCCTAAGGTATTTACAGTCCATGTGCTGCTGTTCTCTGTGTATGCGTTAATGGATAATGGAGCAGCACAATATCAAGTGGTGTTTATAGGACACCAATGCCAAACTCTTTTCATGGTAGCCTCTCAAAGTAGGTTGTGGTTGTTACAAGCAAGTACACGTACACCATATGTGACTGCTATGAAGGGTAGTCTGGCCGTTTCAAAATAAAAGAAAACTAGGAAGAGGGAGAAAAATCTATTTGTGTGCAGTGGAAAGTCTGTTTGTTATAGTCCTGCACTGCTTTAGCCAAAATAAGATTTAGGTGAAGCTATTCTGAAATTGAAACTGATGGTGATGCAAATGGGATCTGTGTCCATAGAGAAACAAGAAGCCCACATAAATCACTTTTGAAACTTCTTAGAGGAAGGCAAGTAATTTAACATGAAGGAGTGGTAATTAGATAAATATGTAGACTCAATAATATAAGTGAAAATTAGGGAAACAGTAATTTGTGGAGGGGAACGCTGAAAAATAAAGCCAGGAACTGAAGCATCTTGAAATTTTAGTATTGAAGTTGTAATTTCTGAGCCTTAAATCAATTTTATTTTTTTGTACTGATCAGTACAGTTATAATTGAAAGTAAATTGCTTTGATGTAATTCCTTTAAGCATTAGCATTACCCGCAAACAAGTTTGTTGTATTTTAAATTTGTGGCTAGGAGAATGCGTGGGCTCAGAGATCAGTTTCCGGAGATCTGGAGGTTGTTTTACCTTTCCTGTAGCTTGGAAGAATAGGATCACTTGCTGTAGCCCTGTGCTGACTCAGCATCCCTAAGAGGAAAGGACAGCGTAATGAATCTTTTGAAGTATTTTGAAGTCAAAAATGTTGCTTTGAATTTTTAATTCTCTCAAATCCATTCAGTATGGATACTGTGTCGCCTGTTGAGAGCTGCAAATTAAGTAGGATAAAGTCCAAGTACTTGGTTAACAGAGGGACCTCCCTGCTCAGGAGTTTGGTATATTGCCTATACGTATGAGGTCGGGAAGTGATTAAATGCAGTGGTCTTCCTGGACTCCTTTTGAATCCCTTCAAGGTGGAGCAGCTGTTAAACAAAATGCCTGTGGCTGCTCTCACCTGGATGAGAATAGTAGTAATAGGCTTATGCTTGCCTCAAGGTGATAATGTGATTGAAAATAGTAAAAGAATTCAGAGTTGTTTGAAGTGCACAGACAAGGAAGCTAAAAACCAGGTATACCTGGATTCTGCTGTCATGTGGGAAAGGCCTATGAGGTTCAGATCTTAAGTCTACCTTTGGCAGTAAGCAACACAAGTGCTTAGGGAAGTGTATAATAGTGTAACAAGTAAGATGTCTTAACGGATAGTTGCTTAACATACTAATATTCCTATTGCACAAAAAGGAAAAGTAATTATTTTTCCCCAAAGAACCATTGTTGGGCATATAGCAAAGATACTAGTGTCTTTCCATAGCCACTATTTGCCTTATCCTGCAATCCACCAACCCAGTCTTAAATTCTAGGGCTTTCTTCCAAGCATACCTCTTATAGGCTTCTGTCCTTGACCTGATTGTGAAACCCAATTTCAGAATTATTCATAGCTGAATTATGTGTAACAAGACTTCTTTTGAGTTCATCTTATGATGAATCTCATGACAAATTATTCAAAGTGTATCTACATAAAAGTTTGGAAGATCAAAACAAAGGAGTTCAGACTCTAATGAATCTAATGAAAAGGTGTGATTCTCCCTCCACCACCATTGTCTCTGTTAAGTACTCTTAGACATCCTCCAAAGAAACCATACCTAATGAAACGAGGCTAGAGTTAATGGTGAACACCTTTGTGAAATGTCGTAACTATAAATGAGGATTAGAATAAACATGGAGACTAATCTGAAATGCTCCAGGAACACAAAGAAACTTAAATCTTATTTGGACCTATATATCTCTTTCACCTCTGTTTTTCCTTTCTTCCATCTAAAAGTTCCTGTTGTCTAGGAGTGATTATTAAAGATGTAAGAATCACACTTCACATGCAAGTGACCAGTGAGAGGCCTTAATTATTCTGTATTTTCTTGAAGTGCTTGTCCTGACGAATGTTTACACCCGTTTTCACTTGTACTTGGTCTTGAAGTATTCTTTTCATTGCAACAATTTATTTGGAGAAAGTGTGTTGAATTTTATTTTTCCTCAAATTTTGGCTTGCGTTTTCATTATTTGTATATTCCCATTGTGGAGCTGAGTGTCAATGAAATTTTACGTTGATTTTTTTTTTTGTTCTTGGAAATTGTCTAAAATCTTGCATTTGTGTCTTGCTTAGGTTTGCCTAATTAAAAACTGAAATGCCAAATAATTTATATGCAGAAATAGTGAGGCATGGTTTGGCTACTGTGAAGTAGAATTAAAATATACAGTGCATACTTTGAAATCTAGGTTTTGGGTGTAAGAAAGGAAATTTGCCATGTCTTATGAAAATATTTTCTGATCTTCTATACCTGATTTGTATAAAAGAACATGTTTTAAAGCAAGCATAACAATTTATTTTTAGCTGCCAGTGTGTTTAGGAGCTAAGCTTAAGATCAGATTTTCAGTCTTGTCTTACTTTTGACTTTAAATCTAGATATTTAAATAGTACATCTATAAATATTGTCAGTAAAAATGACCAGCTTTGTTGTATAATGCAGTATAATTCTCAATCACATGATACTGTCAGTTTTCATTTAAAATCAACTTTTTCAAAACTTATTTCTAAATGAACTTAATCAGATTAACTTCATTTAGTCACATCTGTTCATGATTGTTTTCCCCTTTTACTAGCCATACAAATCATGAAATTAAGCTAATTATATACCATTATCAGCTGCAAAGAACTAGATTCACAGTTTTATACCTTTTAATTCCCTGCAGGAGATTAAGGCTTGTTTTTTGTTAATATGTAAAGTGCAGTAACTTAAATGGATTTCCCCGCAGTTATTGCCAAAGGATTAACTAGTTTCTTATTGTTTTTTCACTATTGTAAATTGGTTTTAAAACATTACATTTTATGTAGTTTCATTGACGGCAGCGCTTGTCATGCTATTGAGAAACATTTTCCAAATCGAAGTGCTATGTACAAGTAATTGTTACACAGCTATAAAGCAAAAGAAATAATTGTCCTGTCAGTGTTTTTTATGGTAACATGATTTTTATCTTCTCTGCTCCTCCCTCTTTTTTGGGGGGCTTGGGGGGATGCCCTCACACAGGTGATGATGAGCAGAGTGATTGGTTTCATGAAAATGAATCTGGTGGAGCATGTGGAATTACGGGGGTCATTCCATGGTGGGAACAAGAAGACTCTGCAGAACTGGAGAGAGAATTGCCTGATCCAGTCTTTGAAAGTATCTTAACTGGTACTTTCCCTCTTATGTCCCGTTCAGGGAGGAGAGGTAAGTAGCAATCAAGCAAATGCAAATTTTAGACTCAGTTGGGTACAGTAGAAAGATATCTGTGGATTATACAAAATATGTAAAATGTTGGCAAGATCTTGGAGTTACCAGTTTGTTTCCTTGAACTATTTATTTTTTAAGATATCATTAGAGAGAAATAATTTTAAAAGTCAATTATTAGAAAAGTCAGAAAGTGTAAAACTTGGCTCATTTTGATAGCCTACTCTTATATTCGTTATTTTGATGTTTGCAGTGAGAATTATTAAATGTTATTTAAAGTGAATCTTTATATTCCATTTTGTTCCTGGCTTCTGTGATAATATTTAGAATTCTACAGAAGTTCATTAATTCGAAGGCTGGAAAGACTAGTGTGACCATCTGCTCTGCTTTAGTCGGGCCATGTTGTTTGTAGAGAAGAGGGAAGGGTTCCTTTAGAACAAGGATTGAGATTGTAACTTAAAAAATATCTTTTTTTCTTTAAAATACTTTAAACGACTGTGGATCCAGTGTGTCCTCGGCAAGTTGTACCAGTATTAGATTGCATTTACAGCTAGGAACCCACTCTTGTCTAAAGATTGAAGTTGTCAGACCTCTGCTGCCAAAAAATTTTGTTGTACCTTCCCGCTACCTCAAGGATCTCCTTTCACATTCAAATACAAATCTTTTATATGAGCAGTGGTCAAATCACTTTTAAACTACTCTGCACACTAAATGTATTGAATTCTTTTGTGAGGCTTATTTTCCAGATGCTTGGAATTGTTTCTGAGGACTTGGTCTCTACATATTTACCAGATGTAACGTTTTCTAGTACTAATGAAGTTGTAAGTGATGCAAAAATCACTTTCTTACTGTAGTTCAGTATGCTCTGCTTATGCAGCCAACTGTGCATAGAACCAGGATGGTAGTAAGAATATCTGTGGAAACGTTCATTTTCATGACGACTTAGCTTTTCTCTCACTTTTCCCGTTCTGTGCTCTGTTTCCACCAGTACAATTCTTGACAATATTAAGATGGTTTTGTTTAATTGAAATCAGATGAATAGATTGGTATGTAATGGTGAATTTTATTGGTTATATGGTATAGGAAGTATTCTTAAATCAATTTGTACTTCCTTTTTGTAGGTTTCCAGAGTAGATTTAGTCATCTTCATGGAATGCCAGCAAGAAACATAAAAAAGGCTTCAGGAAATCAGAATGCATTGGTAGGTGCTTTTATTTGTGTAAGCTAATGTGCACAGTTCTTAGAGGTTTTTGGGGGAGGGCATTATTTAACATTTTCAATATATATCTTATGTCTGTATGAATACATGTTTTTTTCCTTCTTACAATGAAAATCAAACCAAAGTTATTTTAAGTTTTTCTGATGCTGAAAGTACTATATTATGATGCATTCCTTTGGACTGAGTCTGTTCTAAGGCTGTGACTACAAATGAGATGTTTGGGGGTTTTCAGTGCCTTCAGCTCTAGGAGCAATGCTTGTCAGTGAAGGAAAAAAAATCCAACTGTCCTTGCAGTTTTGTACAATCTAATTGCATTTTCCCATAGCTTTTTTTTTTCCTAAAATAAGATTCTAATGAATTTTTAAGAATTTGTTCTTTGGAGGAGGGCATGAGAAGAGAGACTTGATGCTTTAAAATGTTAAAATGTATTGATTGTAGTGCATTCTATTCCTTTCCTATCAGAATAGTGTTCGGAAGAGGATAATGTGAGAGAATCTTATCAGTGTATAATAAACATATTCCAGCATGATAAATACTACAACATTGATGTTCTTTGAGAACATTAAATGTTTTCAAATTTTGATTTGCCTAAACAAAATAAAGTGCTTCTGAGAAATGCAAGAGCTATTATATGCGGAGAGAACAGAAAGGAACTGTTAGAAATTTAACTCATTTTGAAGAGGGAAGGTTTCTATAATTGAAGTCCCTGTCCAATAATTGCCATTTGGAGCCGAATAAGATGCTTTAAAACCTTGGCCTGTGATCTCTGCTGCTAGTGGTCGTGAATTAGATGAATGCTATCTAGTTCTTGGTTTCCTATCTACCTATTTTTATTTTTGGTTCAGTGCTTGCTTGAGCATATCTGGGATTTGTAGCCCATTTTCTAGGCTTATTGCAATTTCACTCTGGTATTTTATAGGAGCTATTATAACTGATAGGTTGGCTTCATGGTATTGATGATACATGGCTTAACTACCCTAAAAACTGCCTTTTCCTCTAAATTGTAAAAAGGTGATTAAATTTCAATTGATGAAGATATACTGTGAATGCATGTATATAATAAAAAATCCTAATGTTTATTTTCTGCTACACTTTCTGGATTGTCCTTAGGAGCCCATTTTGCCTTCCAGTCAGGATATCTCATCTATAAAGGTGGTATCGTAGTTCCCTTTGTAACAAAAATGCAAGCCAATCTACTAAAGCCTGATAATTCAGTTACCTGCAGTTATTAAATATATCATTTACATAGTGTTGTGAAACAGGGTTGACATGTGCATGTACCTTCTAAGCCACTATGTTTAGGTGGGAGTGCATATATAGAATGTGGATGTGCAGTTGGCTCTTCAGATGCAGTTTTCTGACCTTCTTAATGACTATTTATGTTTGTGGTCTCATCTGCTGCATCTGTCTTTGCAAACGTAGCTATATAAGCCAGAGCTCATGTGCTTCCTTTTGTCAGTGATTGCTTCTTAAAGAAAATCTTTTTTAGATACTTCAATCCAATGAGCAAAAGAAAAAAGTCATTTAATACCTGTGACATCTGATAACGCAGAACAAGAAGTAATTACTGCTATTAAATGGTAACAGTGAGGAAGAGCAAGAATGCTTTTAGAAAGATTAATATCCTGAGGAAAGAACACTGCAGACTCAACTCATTGAACAGAGTTGCAGTGTGACTTAATTCTTTTTTAATAGTGAGGAGTCTGTCTGTATCGCTGCTTTTACACGGGCTTTAAAGGGAGACAAATTAAAAAAATGGAGTTGCCTACTGAGATACACTACGTAAACGGCATGCATTATATCCTGTATTCAGTCTAAGGATGTGTCATCCTCTGTCAAAAAGTGTTTAATGCCCAACTATTTGGGTGTTTTCTTGTAAGAGAAACATCAGGCTAAGAATGTGAATATTACTTGCTATATACCAAGGAAACTGCCAGCTTACGTCATTTTTGTACCACAGTTTCTAGAAGCAGTGGTAGTTGAGAATTAGAGGAAAAAATGCTGTTCTTTGTGGACCAGTTAGTGAACTTTCATTTGAAGTAGCCACAGCTGGCACTTAGATTATGTTCAGGTGTTTTTCCTGCATTTCAGTGATGAGTTGCTTAATTTGCACAAACTCATGAGTCTTTCTGTTATCAAGTATACTGTGTTTGAATTAACACACTTTTTTAATGATCATACAACACTGGACAAGCAAGAGAGAAGTAAAAAACCTAGCATGCAAATACTGTGAAAATCCTTGCCTAATCCAATGTGCAGGTTGAATGAGTTTTCATACAGCAAATGACAACTGAAAAAGCTGAGCAAGGAAATGAAAAAAAAAATATTCATCACAACTGGCCTATATACTTTGGATTGTCCAATTTACTTAAGATAGGCACATTTTTTTATGGAATCCGTAATTAAATGGTTTGTCAGTCATATATGTTGGCATACAGTTATATTGCTGGTTTTTCATGTCTTCATTGCTTTGTTTTGTGGCAGCATCATTTGTAACAGAACTATTATTTGAAAAGAAATAGAAAAACATGTGGCTTTTCTAATGCACTATGTTTTTGGTCCTGCCTGTGTCAAGTTGCTAGTAGCAACTTTAAAATCAGAAACATGGTACATGTACTTTTATACCATACCAGTATTTAATGTACTTTTTTAATAAGGTATATTGCATGAAATCTTACTGTGCTTGGTTGAATTCTGCAGTTTTATGTGACCTGATCAACTATTCCCAACCCCTGCAGTCTTTTATGTGAGGCAAAAGTTCTACAATTTAGAAGTAGTGTTCTGTGAATGAAATGCTGATTTCCTAGAAGGAATGCTTTTTTGTCCAGCCTTTTTTCTGTGTGTGTTTATAGACTTCCATGTAATTTGTATACTACTATATCTCTGTCCTTTCCAACAAATTACATATGAAACTTTGGTATTTAGCAGAATAAAATCAGAAATCTAACATTTTAGATTAATTGGAAATGTGAAGGTTCATTTCTATGATGTGGAATACTAGATAAACTCTTTATCTTCCATGATTAAGGCCACCATGCTTTTTTCACATGAATTCCTGGGGAGATCACAAAAGCCCTAATTAAAAAAAAAAGTTAATAATTATAGTTAGTGAAAATAGAATGTGGCTGCTTTTTCATTTCTTTCAAAATGTTTTGCCAACTTAGTACTCAATGACTGAAAAATCTCACTTTTGTTTACAACTCCTCCATACAAATAAGTGAAGGTTTTAAAAATCAGTGCTGCTGTCTTAGCTGTTCCTTGTGTAGTTCTAGATACTGTTCCTTCTCTGAGACAGGGAGAGACATTGTAGAGTTTTGTCTGAGGACTCTTATGTGTCATCTCTTCCTGCCTGGATTCCTTGTCTGGGCTAGAAACTGGGAAGTGATTTCACTGGACTTAAATGCAAAAAATATGACCAATAAAAAGAATGCTTTCTTTTGACTCTGCCAGTTTTTCCATCCATCACCTTTAGGTCGTCGGTTTTGATTTCGTGATGTTAAAGACAGCCTATTTTAAGTCTTGCACTCCTGGGATGGATTTTTTTTTCTTTTTGCAGAACTGTACTGTTGAGCTTAACATAGTTGTAATTATTCAAAAAGTACGTAAAGAATGAAAGTGACATTTCCAAGACCTATTATCTGAAGGTGTCTGGGTATTTCTGTCAAATCCTGTGACTCTTTTTCAAAAATTGAAAGATAAGAGCTTTTCTCAAAAAAGTTGTTGTCAGATAACTACTGTTCTATTGATGTGAAGAGAAAAGATGTGTTGAGCACTTCTGCTTTTTAACTGCTTTCAAAATGTAAAATCAAATCAAACATTTCTGTTTAAGTTCTTTCTAACTGAAGGAACAGACAGGTGTTTTAATGAATCTTTTTCTTATTGTCAAAATATTTTGGAAATTGAGTGAAATGGTATTAGATAAGAAACCTTGTTACAGATCTAAGGAATGTGTCCTTGAAGAGTAAGTTGGATGTTGTTTTTATAGTATTGGACAGAAGCCTCTTTATGGATGCTCTGCAACTTTTGGAGGAACACTGCTTCTCATGTTAAGTTGATGTGGTGTTGTGGAGAATTCTTTTACGCTGGATGTGTGGCATACAGTCGGATGAAACAATTCTGTTTCAGTGAGGTGCATGAAATAACTTACTTGTGGGGTTGTAATTAGTCAGTTAATGACACTTGTTATTTGGAGCAATGGTCTCTAGGTCAAACTCTGTGGAAATGTGAGTGGTATTAGATGATGTCCTGTTGCATTCCAGATTTTCACTTGTTCAATATCAGGAATATTAGGCCTCTATCTGAGGATGGCATTTTGAAACCTTACACTGCTAAAGCTCTGAATTAATTTTCCTTTAAGTGGGTAGGAGGGTAGGGGCTTTTGGGTTTTTTTCTAATGGGGGTTTTATTAAGATTTCCCATCATCAAAAATATTTTCAGCTATTTAAAGCATTTCTTGCTGTGCTTTTATATTTTAAAACCTTTCCTTGTTTGTAATTGTCTTAAATTTATATCTGCTTATGCAAAATGTAGTGAATAAGTCATGCTGTTTTAATCATCGCTCTAGTTAACTCAGTAACCTTAGTTTTACAATTTCCATGAGGAGTGGGTGGACTCCTGTACTTGTGTGCTTCCTGCAGATATGGTTTTTCAGACAGAAAAATGCAGGTTGTTAGCAGAGGAGCTGCTGTTGTGATGGCAGTTTAGGCTCCACCTTTGATTCTTCCAGTGTTCAGTCACTATTGGCAAAAATGCCACAATTTTCCCAAGCAATGAGTCAAATGACACTCTTCCAGACTTCAGAACTTAGTCATGTTGAAATAGCTTTATTTTATGAGAAAACAAAGGGGGGAAAAAATGCTTCTGTCAGATTTCAAAACCCCATTATGAACAATGTAAGTTTCAAAAATGGGATGTAAATATTGGGGATGATGAGTTATCTGTGATGTTCTTAACTCCATGTATCTAATTTTTTTGGGGGGAAC